TATTTAACATATAATACTTGAATATTTGACACCTAAATTTAATGTAAAAGGAAATTATTTTTTTATCAAAGGTTTCTTGTAAAAGGTTTCCTTATTAAAATTTAAAACAAAAAATGTAATACATAACTTTTTACATGTATTAATAATTATAAAATATCCAATATATTCTTTATTTTCTATTTAAAAACAGTATCTAAAATTTTGATTACAGAACCTTCTATATATTTTATCCTATATATTTTTATTTATAGCTGGAAAAGTAAAATGTTAAATTTGTTACGGAATGCATATAGGATTAAATTATTTATGACCGAATGAGCAACAGAACTTTGAGCGAAATTTTTCGATCTCGTTTGAAAGTTGCGACTATCACTACTTAGCTGCGAAAAGTTCGCGACAAGAAACCGGTGCAGCACGCGCAAGAGCGAGACTCGTGCTCGCATTAACTTCTTTTTTTTGCGCACTCGCACGCCTGCGACCCTTTTTGCTGTCGAATGACTTTCGCAAATGCCTGTCGCGATGATAATTAAGTAATGCTGAATATATGATAGCGCTGCTTAAGCGGTCGCATAATGATCGAATGATCGGCAACGCAATTAACGCAAACCGTGTTCTCCGCGGGCCGTGGGATCAATCCACAATTTGGATCACGGTAATTGCAATTTACTTAATTACCACATGCTAGTATTCCGATTTATCGTATATAGGGTGCCCTATTCCGTGAGGTACCCTGCCTAACCTTGTAATTTTAGATTCTCGGGTCAGTTCATGATGATTACATATCTGTCGGGATGTATAGCGTGACGCGTTAATTATGTAAAATTAAATGTTCTCGATCGTTGCATTCAGTGTAATTAGATGCGTCTGTTAGTTAGACGTTTCTAACGTATCAAGAGACAGGAGAAAGATTGTCAAGATAAATTTGGCCAGGCGTGCGGATCGTTCAGAGCGTCCGAAACCTGCGGTACAATAAAACGAATGGAAGCGATGTAACAGACTAGTATCCGTTCCGTTTAAACTTTGACGGAAATGATACGTAGTTCACAATTATTTTGTGCAATTCAAGTCCACTTTGGTATGCGATCCGCTTGGTAATTATGAGTATGGCAACTGCGATTAAATTAAATTTAACTTTAGCAACTTAGTGACTCTCGTGCTTTCCCTACCCGGAGGAACCGATAAAGTTATCAAAACAAGTAAAAATATGTTAACTGCTGACAGCATATTCCATATATTGGACAAATAACTTTTTGCAAACTTTTCCGTATTTTTACGCAAGTTATAATTTCACGTAGTTTATAAATAAGGGTAACAAACAGCTATATCTCTGTTTCTGATGTGAGATAGACATACAGTGACAAAATTGATCAAATATACTACACAACAATTATCTACAGCCAACTGACTCAAAAACGATAGTCGACTCAAAAACATATATAGCCTTTCAATATCAACGATATCATCAACGTAACTTTAAAAAAACAGATATCTATATAATTTTGCTCTGACATCTTCGTTCACGAATTTTCAAAAGAAATTCGTAACAAAATAACGTACATTTGTGATCAATTTCATGAATTATATTTAGTTAAAACCATAGACACAACATAACATTTATACATGGAAAAACCTCGGAAAAAACGATTAAATATTTTGCCGAAATATTTAAAAATTTAGCTACAAATACAGATTTGAAAATAATTTTGTTGGGCTAAAATAATTGTTGGATAAAAAATAATTATGTATAGAACGTCAAACTGATTGCTAGAATGTCAAAACTTTTTGTAGCATTGCTCAACATGCTTAAGCGTCTGCATACCTGCATAATTATTACACCAACATAATCATTTAAGATGTGCATCTAGCTAGATTTTTAGACGAAAAAACCATCCGAAACACTAGGTATTCTTTCCGTATATTTATATAATAGTATATCTAGATATATTATGGTTGAAACCTTATATTTGTGGAATGTAAACATGGAAATAGAAACTCATGAAAATAAAGCCACATTCTCAGCTAGATCTGGATTATGATAAAAGGAAGACTTTTTCGTTAAAAAGTAACATAAATGTTTTTCACATTAAATCCGCCAATTTTTGCATTTTTACTGTAAATTTAAAATAAAAAAACCTAAAATCTTCTCGTGTATAAAATGTCAAGTATGTATAATCCATGACAGAGATAATTTTTTTTTAATTTGGCCGCCATAATGAATCTGCCATTTTGACTTTTTAAAGTTTGACTTTAGATTTGTAATTAGCGTGATCTCTAAAATCCCCATATACTAAAATTCAATAAAATATGTTTAAAAAAATTTGTGCAACAAAAGATTAAGCGTTGTACATTACAATCGAGAAACGCTTCTTCATTACAACAATCGGATATAATTGCACTTTCTCGTATAATGTGAAATTGCCCAGAGAAGTCACGTTATTACAAAGTTAACCGACGTTGGCGAAAGCGACCGTTCTAAACTAGTTCTGACGAATGTGTTGTGTCGTTGTATTCCCTTTTGCGTCGAACGGAAGGAAGGAGCAAAGGTGCAAAGTATGCGTTACGTACATTACACAAGCGTGCACACGGAGCTCTTGCATTTAATTCGTCTTCACTATATGGTGAAAATATGTAGCGTGGTGTGATTAGCAAAATGGAATTTATTAAAAAGCTTAAATTCTAATAAAATAAAATTTTTAGAATATTTGAAGTTAAATTCAATTTTCGAAAAATAATTATCAAAATCATTTTAAAACCTTATTTCACAATGACAGACACAGAGCAGTTGTGAATATAAACCTTACATTTTTAATACCTAGGAATTGTCGTATTCCGCCTTAATAACGACAGGTTAAATGGCCGCGATTGCTACTCTCGCGGACGCATTAATTTCGTGACCATAGCGCCAGCCTAACGTTATATATTTATTCTAGACATTTAGCCCTCATTCTTTTCACACAACAACGCGTTATCAACACGAACTTTGTTTCGACTGACAATCGCATTCCATAACGCGAATCCTTGAAAGAACTTTCTGAACACTTGCGTATTTCATCAAAAATTTTTGAATTTTTCCTTTAAATAAGAAATATGTAACGCAAGACGCAGGTATAAAGGAAATCTTATTGTAATTTTTAGAAGACATTTGTTCGTAAAGGACCTACACATCTCGATTTCATGGAAGACGAGAAGAATAATGCATCCAGCAGTGAAAAAAATATATTGCAACTTTTACCCGCTATGTAATTTAGCTGCCTACACCAGTGACAGAATCTGTCGAGGGTCTCTGGGGACAAATGTTTTGAGTCGTTAATCCGAATCTACTGGTGTACTTAATTGTGATGCACTCAAGAATGCTCATTGAGTCTCTCGACCCTTCCGCCGCGAAAGGGCTTTGATCGGAGTTGAAGAATCGTCCGTAGAAAAAAAAATCCAGTGATCAGGTTTACGCAATTTATAGAAGTATATGCTTGCTTCAAACGTCACCTCCGCACGCCAGATCTCGGCTCGAAAACTGGAGTTGACGGACTGCGGACAACGCCGACCATAGTTCCATCGAATGGAACAAACCGATTCGATCGTCGCGGAGGATCGGAAAGATATGTGAGGGGAGAATAAGATACGCGGAGGAGTATGAAACTCGACTCTCTCTTTCTCTTTCTACTTCTTCTTGATGTGTCATACCGTGAGACCCTTAGTGGCCCTTACGTTTCGACCTGGTCTGACCCCACCCAGCGGGCGAACTGACAAGGCAGGCGGCCAGGCCAGGCAGGCGGGCGGATAAATACGAAGAGAAATCGGAGCACACGTCGGGTGACTCACCACCCGGTGCTTCCGCACCGAAACCAAACTCCCTCGCGCAACCCCGCTGTCGCACGCGAAGGCCGGTAAAAATAGTAGCGAAGGCCGCGGCGTCGACAGCAATTTTCACGCCGCGCGCGTGGCGAGACGCCCGTCTGCTCGCCCGCACGACCCTCTCGAAAGGGCTCTCCGCCACGGTCACCATGGGAACTGACCCTCGACGTGAGCCCTTCAAGGCTGCGCAAAGCTCTCCCGCGGGATTTACGCAGGGTTCCTGATCGCGCTGCGTCCTGCAGGGAATCGCGACGGCCCGACTCGACACACGCACCCTGAATTAGAGTAAATCGAGTTGTCCGCCGCCTTTCCTGCTAGAGTATGCCGTATACGTTTAAATCGACGACTATAATCGATTCTTCTTAGATCGTAGACAAAGTATGGAACGCCATAGTATGTTTGCGATCGATCAAGGACTATCGAGAACACGTCCCAAGGTTGAAACTCTGCTTTCCTGCTTATAGCTTCGAAACGTTAAAGCTTTACTTCAACGAATCGCTTCAATTTAATTGCATGATTTAAATTTTAATTTTCCGGAGCGGTATCGAGGCGTCTTTCGCATATCTAAATATCTTCTTGTCCACTAAGAGTCGATCTTTCTTCATGAAAATCTTCAGGAGATAGACTTAAGTTACGAGCGTACAAAGTTGAATTATGCCGTAAAGATAGAATACAAATATATTTTGATCATTATTTAATTTTCATTGTAAGGTTCAACAGATACGTTATAGTGTACGAGAAAGACATATCGCATGGCATTCAACTTGATTCGCCGAGCGGCGATAACGCTCGAGTTTACATTGCAACGTCGGGAGACTCAAACTCTTCGTTCTCGTCGCACCCTCGCGCGTCCTTTGTCGCCAAGGAGGTGTTGAACCTTCACCTACTATGCAATACTTGACTTGAGTGAGGAGAGGAACGTGGCAGGGGATGAAAACCAGTTTCTTCGCGAGGACATTTAAAAGATGACGTTGCGTTTCATTTGAATCTCTCCGATTGTCCAGAATTCGACGAATTGTGTTGCAGTTTTTAAGACGGAATAGAGTAAACGCGTTATCCGGGGACCGGAATTCGCGATGTCGTCGTCGGTTCGCCGCGTTTCGCCGATAAACACGAACAGGAAGCTGAAACCGCCAACTACTCCTTACCTCTCTCTCTCTTTCTCTTTCTCTTGTCCGCTTCCGCTCCTTCACCGCGGAGTTCTGCTTCCCTCGATCGTTGGCTCCTGCCGCACGTCCTTCGCCGAGCGTATCGATGGCACACACGCGTCTCGGTCCCGGCACGACTTGACTTGACACGGCCGCGCGCCTCGGTTTTTCTTTCGTCGCGCGAGAAAAGATAAAGACCAGACTAGGAATAGGGAGAATGACGAACGTCAAAGCGATGATCGAAAAGGAGCCGGCACTCGGAGCAAGAAATGCGCGTAACAGATGAACCACACGCGGATCGACGCTCGTCACGCTACTGAGCCAAGCCGAACCGAGCAGGCCCGCTGCGCGCCGCTCCTAGGTAGCAGGGCCCCGTCGCGACGACGCGGGAGCGCGCGAGGGTGGGGGCTGCTTCGGCTCCCGCGGCTCTCTAGCGATGGCGACGACACCCTCGCGTGGAGGAGAAGCCAAGAGAAGCTGACTTTGAACGCGCTCTAAGAGGAGGATACTTTCTTTACCGAGGAAACAAAATCGCCATTGTCTGAACTTTTTGCTGGGAAGAAAACATTGGTCCTCTAGCAAACACAAAGTTACATGTAACATACATTATACATGTAATTGTAATTTCCCACTCAACAATATAACTATAATATAACATATGTTATATTATAGTTATATTGTTGAGTGGGAAATTACAAGTAACATGTAACTTGGTGTATACTGGGGTGGATGGATCTCGCGCGTTGTCTCACACAACTGACATTCTCGGTAATACTCTCGCGTATCTAATTGTAAGACGCGACAGACGAGTCTGCGAAGCGTCGCGAATCTGAAATTCTCCCCCAAAAGGAAGGGATTGATAACGCGCATCAATCCTGGCAATGGAACGAGTATAGGTACCTGCCATCGGAAAACCTGAGCACTCCAAAGGGATCCTTTATTTCTCTTCCTCACCCCAGTAGACAAGTGTGTAGTGCACAGTACTTGTTCGATGGATATGATCGAAACCGGTCCGGGCCCATCGCTCGCAGCTGACTCGGCACGGAGTTGAACGAGAAAGAGAGAGAGAGAGGAAGGGGGGAAGAAATGAAGAGAGGAGAGAAAGAGAACGCGGTCGAGAAGAGTAGAGAAACATAGAGCGAGAGAGAAAGAGTGAGGGTAGCGCGCAAGGGGTGAATGCGCATCGAACTGTTGGTCGTTAGGTTAGGTTTTCATAGGGGCGGTGAACCTCGTCCGAGGTCCACACGTCGCTGGCCGACCGGCTGGTCAGTGGCCGGTCAGCGTACGATAACGATAGCGATCCCGCGCTATTTTCGTGCGCAAGTCGCGCTCCGAGGAGTCGCGGGATCGATATCGCGAACGTCTCGTGATCTCTTTGGACCTTTTGTCTTTTACAAGCGTTTTTAAAAAAATAAGATAGCAGCAGTCACTATATTATAATTCAGATCACCGAGGCGTTAGTCACGGATGACCGCTACGATGACCTACAGACTCAACGTGTTTAACATGGAACTTTGAAATCTCGCCGGATTCCTCTGCCTCTACCGTCGTTCCGCTTCCTCTCCTCGCGATATATCGCGATAGCCGCAGACACGCTCGGCCTTCTTTTGATTTCCGGAGCATCTTTTCGCCGCTGCAATAACCACGGAGAGGATCACCGTGGAAAGATAACAACACTATGGAGGCTAAATCTCGCCGCTCAATCCATCTCGCTGCGCTCCGCTCGTAATCCGCGATTTCTCGCCAGGTGGAATCCGACGAGTACGCGAGAGACAATTTACAATCGTCTGTCGTGTCAATCGAGATTAGAGAGACATCCGGCGTCTCCTCGGTAGATCCCAAATAGCATATCACGCATTTTTCTTTTTTTTTCCTTTCCCAATTATATGTATATACTATAATATAAATTATCTGATAGACATTACAACAGCAGCTATGTTGTTGTAACAATTTGCGTATTCTCTCTTCTTCCATTCCAATGTAACTTCTATGTCAATCTTATTTATTGGATCATCCGGAAAGTTCTGCGGTTTTCACTCACGGCCGAAACAGATCAAATACGTCATGTACGATACTTTTTGCAATTTATAATTTCTCTGCCAGTTCTTGATGTTCATGTATTAAAGCATTCGTGTCCCCGTCTGTACACCCACGGTAATCGATTCTGTTCCTTGGAAATTTTCACAAACTCGAAAGTGACCAGTTTTCTACATTAATACTCATAGTCCTTGCACAATTAACGAAACAAAATCGTGCATGGACTATGAGCATTAATGTAGAAAAGTGATCACTTCTGAGTTTGTGATAATTTCCAAGGAACAGAATCGATTACCGTGGGTGTACTGTATATTGAAGATTTTCGGCTTGTTCCAGTAGATCATCATCCACAGTGCAGGGACGCTCAGATTGCGCCTTGTCTTTGAGAGTGAAATCACCTTGTTGAAATTTCACAAACCATTTTCAAACTGTATCATCAGAAACAGTACCTTATCCGTAAACTTTACAAATTTTACGCGCTGTCTCGCATGTGTTCTTGCCCTATATGAAGTAGAAAAGCATAATATTGCAAAAATGTTGTTTCTGTAGATTCTCCATCTTTAGGGTATTATAGAATTAACTATACCGAACATATGCTATTATGGACGGATATTATACATTGTTTAAATAAAAGACTGCTCTTTCTTATTAATCTAAAGTTTGAGTTTTCTCATTTAGTAGCGCAAAATTCAAGCGCTGGCATCCGTGCAGATGTGAGAAAATCATAGAACTTTCCGGATGACCCAATAGATGAAATAAATTAAATTAAATTCTTAAAATAATAAAATTACCGACGAAGTAGAAAAGACGAACGAGATAATGTGATCTATCGAAAAAAAGATCCGATCTATTCCAGATTCGGAAACGGGTTCCCTCGGATACGAGATACGTGCAAATCTCAGAGCAAGAGCGAACCAGATTGATGAATGGGTTTAACTGAACGAGTGCGATCTGACTCGGTAACTGGCCTTTTCTAATATATGGCGTGTGTTTCACTTCTCCAATTAAAGCGCGCGAACAATTATATCGCACATCATTCGTAATAACGACGAAGAGAACATTTCTGACGAATCTCTATCCTCGACTGTTTCCTGATTTACAACGTATTGAAAATATCGCGAAAATGCGTTCGCGCGATGCTTTCGTCTTTTATTTGTTTACATTCCAAACTCGAATAATTAATCTCGATGTGATTACAATTAAAAATTTATCGATTTTGATACGCGGTCCTCCTGTGATGAAGATTATTGACAGTTTCCAGAGATCCTGTTTCACATTTTCGACTGTTTTTGGATGAAGATTAAATCCCCTTTTTAGTTCTCGTCATTTGATAGTCCGATAGTTTGATAGTCTCACCGCTCATTAAATTCGGTCGAATCTTGCCGGGTCCAACGGATCAACAGCCGCGGCAACAGCGAATGAGTACGTATCCCGTTATGAGCTTTGAGCTCGAACCGAGCGACCAATTAAAAAGACCTATCCTTAATTAGTCAGATAGCCGCGACTTAATTTGATTTGGCTCGTAGAGTCGAGGGCTTTTTCGAGCGTGTCTAACAAGAGCCTAGCGTTCGCTCAGGATCGCTCGTTTTCCGGAAACGCGCCGTCGCGGTCGTTTTTAGCGAAAGTAACCTCACGCCTTCTTCTCCTCCTCTTCCTCCATCATCATCTCGATTCTTTTATTGCGCCGCGAATCATGTTCGACAACGCGTTAAGTCGCTCGTAATTTCCCGCTTCTTGATCAGTGTCATGGTCTTTTATCTCTTCAGCGTTTCAGTTTCAAATTATATTCAGAACTATATAGAAAACTATAGAATATCTTATAAACTATAACTTATAAACTGCACACTGTAAACTATTAATTATGAACTATAAGTTATAAAATATAAACAATTTTGTAACTGCAAAAATATATGACAACTATAAAAAAATCATATCGCTATTGACTTAATAGACTAATAAGTTTTCATTCGTCACATGTTGCTTTGGATCTCGCCACGAAGCACGGTTTAATGGACGAATCCATGAGAAGTTTATCGAGGAAAAAATCGGTAGAAAGAGAACTTTAGAAAGATCCATTCAATAACAATTTCTCGAGATCGTCGCTGTTTGCGATTTCTCTTTATGCGCAGTTTATGATCTATGGAACAACGCAGTTTCATAATAACTGCACATATCATATCCATCGCGAAACGCGAGTGCAATTCTCAAAACTACATCGCTGAAACTCGCTGCCGACGAGTCGCAATTCGGACGAGTTGTTTCGACGACTTTTGTTCAACGCGCGACTACTCAGAAATCTTATCTTGCGATTCGATCAATGAGCTTGGAGAATCGCGTTCAGTTACGAAAGGCGAACAATATATCGTCGTCAGCATGACTAGCAATGTACCGAATTCGCTGAGCAACCGAAGCTGAACGACCAAATACAATGTATTGTATGTGCATCGCGTGTGCATATACACAGTTTCGCAACAAAATTAAACGAGGGCACTGAGTGAGACGCGCTCTCACAGTAACAAAGAGCGTCTTGTGCTCGAGATTCGAGGCGACTGCAAGCAACGTCAGGGGTAACGATGCGGCTTCTCTTAGAAATCACTTATCTCTTTCCATTGCGAAAACGGATCTTGTCGCCTGACATTAACGATTGCTCGCATTGTTTGCATGATCGTGCTGTCGAAACGGATGAAATCAATGACAACATCTCTAACGAAATTAGCCGTCAGGAAACGACCGTCTTTAGTGCAGATCTCTTGCGATCTCGTCGCGCGATAAATCTTTATCCCGCAACTGTACAACAGCGTACGCCATCATACACACGATGGTCTGGCGATGGTCTTCGATCGAATATGCGCGGGGACGCCACACCCTGCGCGAGTCCTTCGATTTTCCTGCTGCGCCCGAAATCCCGGAAAGCTTAATGTCTTCCTTTTTCTTCCTGTCCCGGGGCTTAATGTCGTAGCCTTATCTTAACGTTCGAAAGCGGCCCGTGTCGGCGGTCTTTAGTAAATCCTAAAATAAAAATGCAGCATCTCGTACTTAAAACGATCTTAAAAATAAAATCGGGCTAAAATATCAATAGCACTTAATCATATTGGCGAAGTCAGATTCCTTGACACAAGAATAAAGCAGTACAATAATTTTATTTTTTTTTTTTAAAAGAGATAGATATCACTTATTATTAGAGTATTTACTGAAATCTTGTAAAAGAATTGTCTGAGAATTCTCGGATTTTTCAGGTAATTTTATTTAAAATTCCAAATAAGATTAGAGAATTTATTTAATGTAACTTTGAAATAAATCAGAGTGCAAGCAACACAAACTACATATTAAAAATTAATAGAAAGACTAGAAAGCAGGAATTTCACAAGATTATATCTATCATTTTCTACAATTGGAAATCTAGGATAGTATAAGAAAGGCTCACTACAATATAGTATAGTAGTATAGTAGTACAAGATAGTATCAGTGTAACTATTTTCTTCTTTTAAATTATTGTCTTAAATTATCACCCTGATTATTTTTATAAAAATTTGCGAGACACATGAGAGTAGTAAACATATATGAATATGATGGATGTCCATGTTATATTTATTGCTAATCAATTGTCGACATTTTGCATTATTAAGAAAAAAAATAATTAAAGAAACAATGTTTTCGGAAAGAGACAAAATTTAAATTTAGAAGTAAAGATTTTCCAAAAATTTTCCTCAAAAACTAATAAAATTCCAAGAAAATCTCTGATTTTCAAGAAAGTAAAAAAGAAATCTTCTGAAAAGAGTGATGGCAAATTTCGCCCATTTTTTGGACCTCGAATTTCAAACTTTTTTTATGGCAAATAGTACTATTAGATGAAACATTAATTCCAGCAAAATTTCAAGATGAGCATATATAGGCACGGTTCCGGAGATACAAAAGAGTGAAAGTGATGATTTCCAGTCAGGGCGTATCCAGTCATCATGTATTGCATAAGGAAGAATGCGTTCATGACTGAAGTTCATTGGGAATGTGTATTGAGAATATAATATATTGAATATAATATATTGAATCCGGCGTAAAAAAATTCATAAGAAACGATATGTTTCACTTCGTTAAATATATATTTTATTCCTTGATATGGATACTTGAAGAGTTTTGTGTACTTTCATGGGTTATGAGAAACCATCACTTTCACCCCTTCACATCTTATAGTACTATTTGGCATTAAAAAAAGTTTAAAATTTGAGGTTCAAAAAATGAGCGAAAAAAACAGGTCTTTTTACCATCACTCTTTCAGGCTTTTATATAGCTTTTTTCAAATAGTAAACAGCCTATCATTATTTATTTATACGCTCTAGGATGGTATCCTTTAAAGTGTATGAGCTGAAACTCTCACATAGAAAAATTTTCAAAATGTAATAAAATATAACATTACAAAGTCAAAATAATACAGTGTAGAAAAAAAGTTTGCGTGCGCACACTTTGTGTGTGTGTGTGTGTATATGTGTGTGTGCGCGCGCGCGCGCGTAATTTTAAACCAAATAAATTAATAGTTACAAAATTGTAAAAGAATCTAGGAATTTAATTATATTTAACGTATGGCCTTTCTTTGAAATATATTATCTTTCTTTAAAAATGCTCGTGAAGGTGAATTACGCAAATCAGGTAGAAAACTGTTCCCTGATTTAGCCGCATGTATAGTATTTGAACGATTATTTGTAAAATTCTGTTTCCCGAGTTCTTTATTTTGACGAGCTCTAATATTAAATTTATTTATCTCAAATCTACACACTATATAGAATATTGGAAAATTTAGAACGTAAGACGTAGAATAGATAAAATCAAACTTAACCGTCGTAAATTAATTTTGAGCGAATAATTAAGGCTCATTGAAATATGGGATGATGTATGTACGTGTTTATTATCTCGTCTTGCTCGATATAGATATGAAATAAATATAATTTGTAAGCGTTTAGAAGTCTCTGTAAATGTAAGTTTTGTACAAAATATATAAATCAGTAAATCAATAAAGATTTGATATACAGCAGTAGTCAATAAGGAGAGGAAGAAAAACAAAATAAAATATCGTTAAAATCATGCCCATATAGCGTACATGTTCTTCAAGAGGCGTTCCTAAAGATATTCAGAGGACATTTTCAATAAACGTTCTTCAGATGAAATGTATTATGTAATTAAGTATACAAATTAGAACATAAAAACAATTTGAATCGTCGATAAGATTCAGAAAGTAACAAGTAAATTCTAAATTCTAAAACAGCTCCTAGACAATCAATTATTATGTATGCTTTCCATTTAGCGACACAAGCGACACAAGTCGACGCAAGCATTATTCTGTCTTTTTTCAACATCCAGTAACAATTTAAGATAGAATGGCACTTGCTATATATAGATACAGAGAGAGAATTATCTTTAAACATCGCTATACTCGTATATCTTCTGCATACATGCACAAAACGGCATATCCCAGAAAACAAAGATTATAACTGCAATATTGCAGCAATATTGTAATATTTTTGCAATATAGTTGGAATGTTAAAATGTTGCTGCAACATTGCTGTTATAATCCTGTATTTGCTGTGTGATAGTACTCGTACAAGAAAAAAACGAGAGAGAAACAGGGAGAAAGAGAGAGAGAGAGAGAGAGGTGCAGATTCATTTTTCACTTTCCACTGCTTTCTGCGGATCTTCAGTGCACGTTTGGCGTTTGTCACAGCGTCTCTCGATCGCGATGTTCTTCGGCGCAAACGCCGTGCACACCAGCACACGTTGCTGATATATAGGTGCGAGAACGCGACGAATGCGTTGGCAGAGTTCACTGACCGGCAGAGAGAATGCGTGCGCGCGCGCGCGAGTGAGAGAGAGAGAGAGAGAGAGGGAGAAGCAACACAGTAGACCGTGACCGTGGCCGTGGCCGTGACCGTGGCCGAGTTGTCGCAATATCGTAATAGACATCGTCGGTGGTGACCAACGGCGGATAACCATTGCAATTTCACATATGATTTCAAACGCGCATACGGATATTCCAGGGAAGCGCTCGAAATCTGTATCTGTAAGAACTCTATAATATCTGACAATAATATTTATACGAGATAAATACGATACGATAGATACAAACATGTTCGGAAGACATATTTCAATACAAAGCAGGAGAATCGAGATATCTCGCGTGCAGAACTCTTTGCGGCGAGAATGAAACTCTGATCTAGATTTCGCTCCCTGCACTGAAGAAATAAAGCTTATTTCTCTAGCATAACAATTTTTCTTTTCAAATTTATTATTTCTTCAATTGTATTAACACCGGGTATTGATTTCCTCGTCAGAGTTGGGTAGTGGCTATAGTTATAAAGATAAAAGTTAAGTTAAAAAGTTAAATAATTTTAACTTAACTTAGTTACATTTTAGGCTCTTAACTTTTTTATTATTAATTTAATTTAATTACATTTTATCGGTAACTAATAACTTTTGATCTAACTTTCTTGAAGTTACATAATTTTTAGTGCTTCTTGTAAACCCAAAATAAATATCATGTCTAATTAATGTCTTCAAACTCACTTGAGAACACACATCAAGGCAATTGTAATAATATAATATAAATATAGTCTGACCGCGGGAAGGAATCACTGTTCGCGGACCTTCTGTGCATTAAATCACGGAAGAAGTCCTTCGAAATCGGTCCTCTTTCAGCGGCTCGACAGAAATAAGTATAACAAATATATACTTTATTTAGAAACTTTATTTAGAAATCCTAAAATTATAAAATAAAAAAATTTAACTTTAACTTTTCAATTACTTTTTTTATTAACTTTTAACTCAATTAATTTTATTATGGACTAACTTGTACCTTAACTAAGTTAAATTTTTAGACTGTTAACTTTAACTTAACTTAGTTAAAAAAATATATTAACTTACCCAACCCTGGTCCTCGTATATAAAGGATGAGCACCTTATAGAGTTTAGGCAGATTCTGGATCAAAACTATAATGTCTAAGAATAAAAATTCATATTTTTATTCAGAAAGATATCAAACAATAACATATTTAACAGCTTTTGTAATTAATTATAAAGAATACTTTTGGGATACTTTTATTCAATTTCAATATTATTTTATATTTTTTAATTTTAATTCAATAAAATAATGAGAATTATATATCCACAATTAGACCTCTGGGTTTAGTTGTGAGTCAGACTACCCGCGATACATATATATTTAATTTTAAATAAGCATGTTAATTTTCTTTCCATGAAATTAATGCCATTATCTATTTTCTTTAAAAGCGATAAGACAATCTTTACAGGCATTAACTTCGAATGAATTTTTTCATCCTAATTGACGTCTCACGTTTTAAGTTACTTAATGATATCAAAACATGCAGTGTTGTAAACAAGAAACAATTAATAAAGCGAACAATGCTAAAGAATCTTGCGCCATTTGATGAATAAAAAACAATAATTATTTAAATATAATAAATTATTCGAAACTATAAGGTGTTTGAATTCACATTTAGTGCATTTACTCAAATGTTGTGAATCAAACTCACGAATTTTGCATACATATCGCATACATATTGATTCTTCAACATTTCTTCGTAGTTGTGGTTTCGCGTTTAGTCTCACGCTACTGCGAAAGCGTGGCGTGAAACAAATACCCGATTTAAATCTAAACTGCAATATCCATATGATTTTTATTAACAATTCCTAATTTACCTCAAGTATCGAAAGATATTTATAGAAGATTCGGCGACGGAGCAAGTATCGAGTATCGATTGACGTGACTTGTTCTAAAAATAAAAGCACGATGAAGTATGTTATGTATTTTCAAAGAATCATCTTTCGATTAGTTCTGAACAAATCGCGCAGTTCGTATCACAAGTTTTACACCATTCATTCAGTTTTTTGAAAATTCTTAAATGTAATAAATGTAAGAAAATTAAAAGGTATATCCCGTTAATCCATATCTCTAAAAGATAAAGAAAAATCGTATGTAAAACTATAACAGTATATAACGTTGACAGATAAAAAAAGGAGACGAAAGAAATATTGACATAAATTGTATATTTTTGCTATACAATAATCGCATTCGCCGCGTACAATATAGATATATTGCGCCACATAATAACAAATGAATACACTTGGTATACAAAGCACGATGGAGTACACACAAATCCTAAGTTTAATTTAATTCCAGACAATTCTAAGATGCGTACTCCCTTTCTTTCTTTCTCTTTCTCTCTTTTCCTTTCTCTCTTCAAATACGAAAAAATGTATAAAAGGAAAGAAAGCCGTGAAGGAAACTTGGGGGACTCCTATTTGGCGATATAAGAGACACGCGCGAGGGCACAATCGGAACACGTTATACGTTAAATGGAAAAATATGACAATTTTCTGAATGAAAAAATGCGAGACTTGATTTTATCTAGGCATATATCAATATACTTTACGTCACTTTCTCCAATGAGGTAACTATTCTCGATCTACTTGTTTCTCTCGTGAAGCTCGTAACAAAGATACAAAACATTTATTCTAATATATTCTTCTTTTTACGTCATTGCTCATTATTATACAAATGCACGGCAATCCTAGCCGACGCAACCGACTGTTATACGACTATCGAAAAAAAAACATCAGACTCTACATGTATGGTCGTACGTTATACATTTTTTTTTGTTTTTACATGAATCAGCTGTCGATGTGATAAGCGCGTTTTTGGGATGATTACGAGATGCTTCTCAATTCTAATTTACTTTAATTTACTTTGGCGATTAACACATTCGCTACGATATACTCTCCACGAAGAACATGGTTGTCGGAACTTTCAATATACAACAAAACACTTATGCAGGATTTATATTATTATTCGATAATAGTCCCCGTGAAAACTGGAAGAGGTGCGTCACGTGTTTCACGAGAAATCTATAGCTAGAATCTATTTCGCTTGCGAGGTCGGTATAATTGCTGTAATTATAAAATATATATGATATATGCAGTTAATGTAAAATCTACTTTTAGAGCGCAAGATTTGTTTTTTTACAGATTCAATATAGAAGTAAAGAATAGAAGCGCTATGGCTTTTTCTTGCAACCTCTTTTACCAGTTTTTTTTTAACGATAGATATTTGGCATAATTTTATACATTGTATAGAATGTCAATGTGATAAATGTACAAAATATTGAGCAGAGTCTGATTGCTCTCCGAAAACCATGTTGTACAAATATCTAAAGTTTAGAGCATTTTTTACTTTTAATATATTTAATATATATATTATATATAATGAATCAACCGTTGGCTATAACATTCATTGTAAATTTCACTCGCTACGCATCTAATACTCATTTGTCCGGAAATACCGATTTTTCACATCATGTATCGCTAAATCATTACTACTAGTGTCTGCTTGTACTAGTGATTAAAATATAACGTGTTGTGTTTGTATGTGTATGTGTGTACTCTTCGTAATTCTCGAAAATCTATTTCTATAATCAAATATCTAATCAATTACGAAGAAAACTTAATAAATACCGATTATATTCTCTTCCTCTTTTATTACTTAAAAATATGTATAAGTAATTAGTTCTTATGGCAACGTCAACCACAACTAAAGAATATTAAAATTCATCCATCCAAGTCTGCATTTTGGCGTCCTTAATTATTACTCGCAAAGTGTAATAAGGCTAAGAATTGTAAATTATCGTCCTCTCCCAGTTTCTATGTTGCAAGTGAAGTAGGAGACGACTTAGTCTTTCCAATCCTTCTTGATCTCAAACGACCATTCCCACTTGAGATGTTCATGCTTGTCATCGTCTGTGAAGAGAGAACTGACGTTGTAGGAGCCTCGCGCGACGACGCCAGCCGGTGCATCCTCGGCTGGAGTGGTATATGACTGGATCTCTGTTTTAGGAGGATACGAGCCTACCATATGCGTCATTTTGTCAACTACAACAAAAGATCAGAGATATAAAGTTCCACATTCATACGCTACACGATCAAATTATTATATATTCCATTTACCCGTAATTCCTAATTTGCATTAGAAGCATTAACACATAAGAAATCGAATTTATTATAATTAAGAATGATATTGTTGTTAGGAATGGAATAACAAAAAAATTAAAACCATACCAGGTACACCAAGACGATAAGTCTTTTGAACGTATTTTAATCCATGCACGATCTCGCGTTGCACAATAAAATCGATCCTGATTCTATAGCTCACACCCTCCTTGATGACAAACGTCTGTTTCTTCAGCTGCGATAAATCGCTGGTCAGGTCCAACTCCATGTCCGGTCGATCGACGACGCATAGCGCCAATTTCTTTACTATTACCTTTCTAGGATCGTTAGGATCTACAAAAATTATATAATTATCTAATAGAATGTTGTCATGTCATTCTTGCTATATATTGCAAAGAGAGCTTTTGTGTGTGTGTGTGTGTGTGTGTGTGTGTGTGTGTGTGTGTGTGTGTGTGTGTGTGTGTGTGTGTGTGTGTGTGTGTGTGTGTGTGTGTGTGTGTGTGTGTGCGTGCGTGTGTAAAAAATTTCATTTTTTATAATATTAAAAAATCCGTTTTTTCTTTCTATTTATTTGCCTTAAAAATGATTATAAAGCTCTATTTATTTACTTGCGCTTGTGTGCACTTTTTATCATCTTTAATATTAATGCAATTCAATTTCAAATTTCACACACACACAACACACACACGCGCATACACACACACACATATATACATATGTATATTATACAAAACATATACATATATTACACAAATATATATTATACAAAATTTCTGATTTCACAATCAATTTGCATAAAACTTGCGAGAATTGTCGCGAAATCAGATCTCTTTGTGAAATTTTAAAATTGTACGCGGCAACTATGATAAAAGGACAGAACGCATAATATAACTTATAAATATAAGATAACTTATAAATATTCAACACAAACAATTATATATAGGTATTGAATATATATTTACAAATGCCCACCTACTACGATACCGCCGGACTTGGCTTCTCCCAGAAGCGTCTCCTTATACTTGCGTAGACTCTCGTCCTCCTTGTCCGTTTCCAGGATCTGTTCGATGGACTTTTCCGGTGGAGGCTTATAACTGGACTCCACATCCGGATCCTCGTCCAACGCATCTACATGATCACCCGTAGGGTCAGACATCGCTACGTTCAAACCAGGAAAGATATATATATATAAAAAGACTTGCAAGAAAGACAGAAAAAGAGAGAGACGGAAAAGAAATGAGGATACGTATTATTGCGCGATATAGAATTTGTTGGTGGAAACTTCGAGAATTTGGAAATTCGGCAATGATGACGGCGGCGAGTAGCAACGAATAGCGAAGCGGAAAAGTGTGCGTGTATATCGACAGAATATTTTTAGAAAGGAGAGAGAGAGAGAGAGAGAAAGAAATCGATCGGGCAGCCGCGCATAATGACAGAAACTAGCAGGAGATCTTTCAATCTGTACCATCTGTACTTGGAATGAGACAAATGCACGCTCATTGGAGTAGGAAGAGATCTGTCTCAACCTCGGTCACAAACCTAGCACAATTCAGCACAACTATCGAAATTATTTAATTCTAAAAGTGGGGGGGCTAACTTCGTAGAGGCATCTGTCTCTTGTAATTACACTGTTTTACACCTCCGCGCATTTTAAATTAAATGGTATACAACTAGACGTTATGAGAAAGAGAAAGAAAAAGAAATATTATATATGTATTGTATATGTATATATATATAAAAGAATTTTTCAGAGCTGTATTGTACGTGTCATACTTTTTGACGTCTAAAATAGGTATTATTAGATATTGAAGAGAAAAGGATAAGGGATGAAAAATAAAGAAGATTCAACCGGGAAAAAATTTTTCATATAAGAATATATATAAATATATATACATATATAAAAATATATAATTATATATAATTATACATAATTAAATGCAAAATATGTCCATATACATATCCATATGTTTCTTTTCTTTGTAAAATTATTGTTTGATACAAGAAAAATGATAATAATAAAAAGAAAACATTAAAAATAATTAAAAGAATAATTTTTGTATTGTTTTTTTTTACAAAAAATCCAATTTTAAGAAATGAGAAAAAATTATTATTCATATATAATTATATATGTATATTTTTAATCATTTATATATGATTATATATAACCAATTTTTCTCATTTTTTCAAACTCGATTTTTTGTAAAAAAAAACAATTTAAAAATTATCCTTTTAATTATTTTTTATGTTTCCTTCTTATTATTATCATTTTTTTGTATTAAAGAATAATTTTACAAAGGAAAGAAACATATGGATATATATGGACATATTTTACATATAATTATATATTTTTATATGTTCTTATATGAAAAATTTTGTCCCGGGCAATTATAAAAGATAAATCTAATAAAGCCCGTATCAGAATATATACGCATTAAAGATTAAGAATTGCAAATTAGAGATCAAAATTTAATCAATCAAAACGAAACGAATTAAAATTATAATTATATAATTGGTCGAATTCTACTCTTCAATTTATAATCTTCGATCTCCAATGCGTAGTGTGACAGACTTAAGATAAACGGTACAAAAAGTTTAAAAAGCGAGCCTTGAGAAGGAACGCACAAGGTGCGGAAAGTGTAATTGGACTCTGGAAATTCGCTTATGACAGTAAACAGAGCGTTGGATCGCTGCTTGTTTTAATTACTCCGATAATATACACGTTTCGCTCGTTTCGAAACAAAATGAGTGCGAATCTCGAAGGAAAAAAAGGACGATACGATGATAAAAGAAGTGCGACCGACAAATCGAATAATCTCGCAGCTTATGACGATGTTCTTTCGGTCTGCACTTTCCGTACCTTCCGACGACACTCCCCCTCCCCCCTTTTCATCTAGAAACTGGAGTTCTGCTCCTTTTGATTGTAGTGACGTTATATTTTTACATTTAAAATAAAATAGATATAATTACACGTCGGACGAAGAAAAGGAAAAGATAAAAAGTAACAGAGACGGAGCTGCGAGGAACAAAGAACAATGTACTTGCTTTATTTCAAATACGAGAGACGCAATCAAGTGCAGACAAGGAAAGCATAACCGCTGAGAAGTGGAGCAAGACGATTAGTCGAAGTTCCTTCCAGCTGCTTTCTGCGCCCCTCCCCCTCCCCCTCCCCTCTCCCTCACTCTATCTCTTTTCATCTTCTTTATGCTCCTTTTTCCGATTCGCACTCGCAGAAACAAAATCTCGGCGTAATGTTGACGCGATCGATCTCCAGCACGCTAATTGCGGCTCCCATTGCTCGCTCGTTGTGCTCGGGAGCGACGCACATTTTCGCGCAGCAGCTAAATTCTGTAACTCATATAACCAAAACCGGCGGCTGCGATTGATTCTCTAGTCTCTACGTCCTTTCCCTATTTCCGGATCCGGAGGACACGATATAGGGCAATACACGGCGCGGTTGAAAGGCGACAGCTCCGAGAAACGGAGTCTGACACGATCGAGTCCGACGGGGTCTCTCCGGGAAAGACGGAGACTCCCGCGATCCGAAACTCTGCCTCACCACCCGGACAGGAGGACGCGAGGCGATGGCGATCCCACCCGGCGCACTCCGGGTACCCGGTGTCTGCGTCCACCGTTTAACACTTACCGTCTCGGCTTGACAGGCAGCTTGTGACAGTTCTCAACCGGCTCTTCTCACGTCCGCGGGAATCCGCACCGGATTATCGGCCGATTGTTAATCCCCGTTTGTCCGCCCCTCCGCCTCACGCTTCACCGAGCGGAAGACACGGGCAACATGGCGGCGCGCACGGAAGGGCGGGTACTTCCTGCGACCGCGTGAAGCGTGCTTGGACGGAGATTTAGAGGTTATGTCGCGCGAGCTTTTCGTAGCTCGCAAACGCACCTCCACGCATCTAGTTGTCCAACGGAAAAATCGCCGTTACTTGCGATCCGAGATTTTCACGAGGAGGAATGTTTTCCGGCGTTTAACAGATCTTTCTTCCTTTTTATCGAGAAAGTTCGCGTATTCGATTCTCGTGCGTTCGTCTCTCTGCCGACATTATGGCGCTAAATTTTTGACTTGGGCTAACTTCGGTAAAATCTGTTAACGTCCGCGACCGTTCATGTCGACTCTTTTTCCAAGTTTATTTCTTACAATTAGATTTATTTTGACTGCGATAAAATGAAGACTAACGTAATAATTGTTCTATTTTTAATCCAAGCCTAGTTGTGCATAAATGATTACTTGAAATGATTTTTACACTCCACAATTAAGTTACTATTGTTAATTACATATTATATATATTAATTATTAATATTGAGATCATTATAGGCTATAAATTTTCAATATTTTCCAAGTAATATAAAGTGGCTCCTAAACTATCAATAATAATATCGTCGTATTTAAGCAGTTTAATGCTTTTCAACATATATGATAGAAAAACTCGTACCTAGGAAGATCACTTAACTTATATTTGTTAAGACACACTATTCTATCGGATTACAGAAACGTCTGCTTGAGAAAAAAATTCAATCTTGTCTGAATATATTCTGGCAATGTTCCAAAAGTGCGTCTACTCCTGCTTTGTTCCTGAAATTCGACCGACAGCTTTGCAACTTTTGGTGTAGTAGCTCAGGATAGATCTTCGCAACGTGCTTTAATGCATCTGGAAAAAACAGTTTAAACTTAAGAGGATGCTGAAAGGTCGGAATTATCGGCACATTACAATTTAGTAAATTTCTCCGAATTGACTGAGCAGAATTGAAAATCCTTTTACAGGATTGAAATAGACATAAAATTGTGGTGTGAGACGGACGAATTTGTAGTAAAATCGAAAAAAATTAAAAAACAGCTATCACCTGATTTAAACATTTCATTAAAAGTTCTGTAGCTTATATGTACAAAATGCTTACGCTCACACCACAGATTACATGAACGAATAATACAAATGCTAGACGCAATTTTTGCTGTCTTTATCACTCTGTATTTTAGCTAAACGTATACGAATTACTATAAATTACAGTTTAGTGAATATTTCTTTTTCTACGCTTTCAATCGTAGCTCAAAAGACTTTGTTTATTATTTGTTCATGTAATCCGATTCGAGGGACGTAAGCATTTTGTACATATGATCTACAGAACTTCTACACTAATGAAATGTTTACGTCAAGTGATAGCTGTACAGTCCAAAAAATGTAATTTTTTAATTTTTTTTCATTTTGAACTACAAATTCTTTCGTCCCCCCAATACATTTTATGTCTATTTCAATCCTGTAAAAGGGCTTTCAATTCCGTTCTGTCATTTCGGAGAAATCTTTACGACTGCAATGTGTCGGTAATTCCGACCTTCCAGCATCGCCTTAAGAATTACTTTATATTGAATTAAAAATTATAACTTAAATCATCAAAATGAAAAAAATGATGCAAAGTAAAGATGTGCAAACTATTCGAATATGAATTAAATTAAGTTAAATTAAGTAAGATTTGATTTGGATTTGAATTTTTAAGATTTTGAACTATTCGAAAATGTTTAATCTAAGAAATTCAAATAAACAAATCACATTTATTGACACTCTTATAAAATTATATTTCCCGTTAATAAATAAATAACAATGCTATTAATAATATAAAAGATGTCTTAGGCTGCTTTCCTTGTAGGAAGCACAAATCAACATAGATTAGCACACTTGTATTTTATTTGTATATGTATAGTCAAACGAAGTCCTAAGAGATGGTTTGCAGATGCATTCTAATAATCATTCAATTAGACAAAAACAAACTGAATTCCTCCCAGACATTTTCCTCCCAAGAAGAGTAAAAAAATGTTGATTAAGTTTGAACAAGATTGTAATGTCAATGGAAATCGACATGTGTCGATTTGTGTCAAATGTGTCGACTATATTTCTTTAAAAGAAAAGCAGTTTTACTAAAAATGCATTTCACTTTGTGCTTGCAGTATTTTTTAATTCATTTCATTCTTGTTGTTTGTCAAATGTTAAACAAGGACAAATAATGCAAGCATTGCGAGTGGAATGCATCCTTATGTCTGCACAATTTTTGACACGTACTGTTACTTTATCGTAAAATTTGCATAAATATAAAAAAAATAGCAAGTTATGAGTATTAATAATAAAATAATTATAATAATTATATTCTACTATATATATATATATATATAATATATATATATACAGTCACCAAACTAATTGACCGGACACTGCGTTAATATATCGATAATTTCTA